ATATATATATAATTTTAGTGCTAGGGGTTGAGTCTAGGGCCTGAGGCACATTAGGCAACTATTCTTTCACTGAGCTACATCACCAGCCCATTTAAAAAAAAAAAAATTAGATTTTGAGCTCGGTGTGGTGGTGCACACCTTTAATTCCAGCATTCGAGAGGCAGAAACAGGTGAGTTTGAGGTCAGCCTGGGAGTTCTACATAGACGTTCCAGGCCAGCCAGCTACAAAGTAAGACCCTGCCTCAAAAACAGAAAAGGAAGAAAAACAAAATTAGATTTTGAGATAGGGTCTCACTAGGTTCCTCAGGCTGACCTTTAATCTGTGATTCTCCTGCCTCAGACTCCAGAATATCTGGTGTGGAACCCTCCTCCTTGGCCCCCTCCCCTATGCCCCTAGACCCCTGCCCTTTTTAGGACTAAATGCTCGTTTTGCTTCTGTAATTTGCTTGGCTCAAAGGAACTAAAGGGACAAACTGCACTGACTCCATTTTGGCTGACTTCTCCATTTCGTAAGTAGATTAGACAAGCCTGGCCATGTCAGAAGAGCCCAGGCATGTTAAGGCCTTATAAGGTATAAACAAGATCCTCTGGCCCCAAGGATAGCAGTCAGCATATTCTACAGCCCTGAAGATAGCACCCACCAATAGGAAGTCCCCAAGACTGCATCCCCTCGTGACCAATCAATTTGAAGTATGTTGGTGTGCGGGCTCCTTGGACCAATCAAGATGTGACTCTGTTATTCCCCTCCTCCCTTTGTCCAAAACCCATAAAAAGCTCTTTCCCCCTTGCTCAGGGCTCTCTCAGATAGATCCACTGCATTGGTGAGGTCGGAGAGCCTGAGCTTAAGCCAGAATAAAGACTCTTTGCTTTTGCATGCCCTCTGGACTCTGTGGTGGTATTCGGGGGCCTGTTCCTTGGGCACAACACTGGGATTTCAGGTATGTGCCACCATGGCCAAACATACATTGATTGATTTCTTAATTTATTACGTCCTTAACTGAAGATTCATTTCTTTGCCTTTTGTTATGGCTAAGATACCCCATTAGTAGTTAAATAGTGTCTGTCGTGGGTACTATCAGTTGGACACCCCATCTGTTAGTTAAGACTTCTATACACAGCAAGGTCTATCACATCTTTCAGAGCCTGTTTCAAGCCTTTCTCGGAGGATGCAACCTGCTGTACCTAATTCACATTCACAGTTTCAACAAATACATACTGAGTCCAACTACATTCTGAGCAGAACGTTCTTCTAAGGAATCAACAGTAAGATACAGACCTCAGGGGGCATAATTATGCATTACTATGACATATGCTTCAGATGTCTCTGCTAACTCTCAGCTTCTAGGTGTTGTGAGTGTGTGTGAGTATGCACATGTGTGCACAGGGAGGTTAGAAGACAACCTCAGGTGTTGTTCCTCAACCACCATCCACCATTTTTTTTTCTGAGACATTGTCTGAAACTTGCCAAATAGGCTAGACTGCTGGTGAGTTAGCAAGCCCCAAGGATCCACCCTCTCTGCCTCCAAAGGGCTGGAATTACAAACATACTATACCACACCCAGCTTTTTAAACTCATTCAATGTCTCCTCAGCCCCAGAATCAGAGATTTGTAGCACAAAAAACCCCCAAAAAACCAACACCATAATATTATATAAGGATTTAATAATGATGTTAACCAAGAAAAAAAGAGTAATCCCTTTATGAGTAATCTTGCTGTGCATGGTGGTGCATGTCTTTAATCCCAGCATTTGGGAGGCAGAGGAAGGCAGATCTCTTTGAGATTGATGTCAGCCTGGGCTACATATGGAGTTCCAGGCCAGCTGGGGCTACAGGGACACCCTAGCTCAAAAAGACACAAAAAAACAAAACAACTAATCTTAAGTTTTTTAGGATTGATAAGACAATAGTATATTTTCTTTACCTTGAGTGAGAAGTCTTCTAAATTGCTCAACTGCTTTGGAAACATCTACTTGGAAAAATTCCCAGAGGTGAATCCTTGGATAAATATCTTCCCAAATGATTTTCCGAATGCACTGAAAAATATAGAACGCTTTTGATCAGATTCTTTCACCATATTAAATTATATATCCTATGAACACATTTGTAATGATCTGTTTAGAAAGCCTGTTATTCTGATTTGGGTTGGCAGTCCTCTGCACACTTACATTCATGTGCTGATCATTCTCAATCAAAGCAGGAACTCCTTTGTCTCTGTACTTCCCTTCTGCTACATCACAGGAGAAATGCCAAAGTGCTCTATCTAAGACCCAGGCAGGCTTCAAGTGTGGAGAATTCACCAGATTATATGCAGATTCTGGGTGCTCGTGGATCCATTCACTATTAGCAGCTTAAAGAAAAGGAGATCACACATCTTGTAATTAAATTGGGTTTGAAGGTGGCATCTTAAGTATAAATAAAATAAACTGAAATAAACTATCCCCATCTACTACTCTTACTGTTCATCTTATCAGTAAGTTCAGAGTCAAAAGCAGAATCCAGCAAGGTATGTTAAGTATTTACAACATTAAAGGTGTTACTTCTTTCTTTAAAACATTTATTTATGGGGATCTGGAGAGATGGCGGTTCAGAGTGCTGGCTGCTCTTGCAGGGAACCCACATTTGATTCTAAGCACCTATATGGCAGCTAATAACCATTTGTAAGTCCAGCTCCAGGGGAATCTGACACCATCTTCTGACCTTTGTGACCACTGCATGGCACAGGTGCACTTAGAAACATGCAGGCAACACACTCATACACATAAAAATAAATAAATATTTTATTTATTTTTATGTGTATGAGTGTTCTGCCTACATGTATTTAAGTATATCTCTGTCATGCAATTCCTGAGAAGGCCAGAAGAGGGCATCGGATCCCCCAGAACTGGAGTTATAGGCTGTTGTTAGCTGTCATGTGGGTGCTAAGAATGAAAGCAGGTCCTCTACAAAAGTAGTCAGTGCTCTTAACCACTGAGCCAGCAATCCAGTACTGAATTTTACTTTTTTAATGTATTTTAAATTTTTATTTAGACAGGGTCTCCCTGTAGCCCCAGCTGGCCTGAAATTCACTATGTAGACTTGGCAGGCCTTGAACTCACAGAGATCCACCTTCCTCTGCCTCCTGAGTCCTGGGATAATTTTACTTTTCTTGGGGGGGGGGGTTCTTTTTGAGAGAGACGGTCTCCCTGTAGCCCCAGCTGGCCTGAACTTGCTAATTAAGACTTCTATACACACCAGAGTGGCCTTGAACTCACAGAGATCTGCCTCTGCCTCTGCCTGTGCTGAGATTAAAGGCATGTGTCACCACACCCAGCATTTTACTTTTTTTTTCAGTCTTTTTGAGCCAGGGTCTCCCTGTAGCCCCAGCTGGCCTGGAACTCACTATGTAGACTAGGCTGGCCTCTGCCTCCCAAGTGCTGGGATTAAAGGCATGCGCCACCAAGCCCAGCCATAATTTTACTTTTTAAGCAGACAAAACATATACAATTTGATCATTAAAAAAGACTAAAAGAGTTGGAGAGATGTGTCAGTGGTTAAGAGCCCTGGCTACTCTTCCAGAGGACCTGGGCTCAGTTTCCAGCCCCACATGGCAGCTAACAATGGTCCTTAACTCCAATTCCAGGGGATCTGATGTCTTCTTCTGGCCTCTGTGGGCATTGCACACAGGTGGTGAACTTACATGCAGGCAAAACATCATACACATAAAATAAAAATAATTAAATAAATAAAAAAGACTAATGGCCCCTGAATTCAAACTGAGAAGCATGAGTATTTAGTAAAACAAAAAGTGGTAACAGTTATTGAATGCCTACCATATACCAAGAATTGATCTTGGTAGCTAAATACAACAATTTTGCATTCCTTATTTCTTGTCACAATACAGAACATACTATCATATTCCCTTAACAGATGAAGAACTGAGGCACAAAGAGCTGAAGGTCTCAGCCAAAGCCACACAGCCAGGAATTGACCTAGGTCTCTGTTCCAGGTCCACAGTCGAAAATGCTTTGCTCAGCTGCTGAGAAGAACACGCTCATGCCTGCTCAGCTGGGCAAATGTGCAGAATTTCACAACCACCATTATTTCTTGCTTTCATTTATTTATTAAGCAATTTATTTACTAGCATTTATTTATATCTATGATAAACTCACCAGGAACACGGATGGATCTTAGAATAAAATTGAAATTGAGCTGAGCTGGGTGTGGTGGCATAAGCCTTTAATCCTAACACTCAGGAGGCAGAGGCAGGTAAGTTTCTGTGAAATCAAGGCCAGCCTGGTCTACATATCAAGTTCCAGGCCAGCTGGGGATATAGGGAGACGCTGTCTCAAAAAAAAAAAAAAAAAAAAAAAGCAACCTTTGACCCCAGCCACCCTTCGCCAAAAATTAAATTGAGCTGAGCATGGTGGCTTATATCTCTAACCCCAGTACTTGGGAGGCTGAGGCAGGAACACAAGTTCAAGTCCATCTTGGTTAACAAATAGTGAGTTCCAGGCCAACTTGGGCAACAGAGTGAGATCCTGTCTAAAAAAAAAAAAAAAAAAAAAAAAAAAAAAAAAAAAAAAAGCCAAAACAAAAACAACTACAGTTAAATTGAAAATTCTCAAAATTAGCATTGATACTGTTCCCTAGATTATCACATTCACTGAAATTCAAGGTATTTTCTAACAAGACAAAAATACAGCGATAATTCTATCTAACTGGGATTTTCCCTTACTGCGTAGGGAATGTAATCCAATGGTAAAGAGCTTATCTAGCACAGGCAGAGCCCTGGGTTCAATCCTCACCATTGAAAGATAAGATGCTAATAATAAATGATAAAGACACTGGGGATGTAGCTCAATGGTAGAATGGAGTATCCAGCATGCACAAGGCCCTGGATCGGGTCCTCTGGACCACTACCACAACGCTACCACAACAAAAAGCTATCCTGTCTCGCCTTTAAAAAATTTAATTAATTTCATCTTATTATTTATTTATTTATTTATTTAGGTCATTTTGAGCCAGTTGTCTCCCTATAGCACCAGGTTGGCCTTGAACTCACAGAGATCCGCCTGCCTCTGTGTCTCCAGTGCTGGGACTAAAGGTGTGCGCCACCACGTCTGGCCTAAAAAATTTAATTCATTAAAAAATTTTTATATGTGTGTTTTGTCTACATGTAAGTGTACCACATGTGTACAGTGCCTGCAGAGGTCATAAGAGGGCACTGGATCCCCTGGAACTGGAGTTATGGAGCCACCATATGGCTGCTGGGAACCCAGGTCCTGTGCAAGAGCATGCAGTGGTCTTAACGGCTGAGCCATCTCTCCAGATGCCTTCCTTTTTTTTGAGGCAGAGTCTCACTTTGTAGTTCTGGCTGGCCTGGAACTCCCTGTGTAGACAAGGATGGCTTTGAACTCACAGATATCAGCCTGCCTCTGCCTTGTAAGTGCTGAGATCAAAGGTGTATGCTACCACACCCAGGGCTTTTTCTTTTTTTGAAGTGGAGTCTTGTTATATTGCCCAAGCTACTTAAGCCATCCAATGGCCTCAGCATCCAAAGTATCTGTGTCATCACACCCAGCTCTACCTCAGTTTTTACAAATGCTGATTGTTTTTAATCCCTGATTTTATGAAAGAACAATGAAATGTCAAAGTAGAGTTCATCATATATAAAAATTTAAAACTAACCATAGGCTTCTAGAATGTTATAAGGAACTCAGCAAACAGGCCCCCAGTGAAATAATTTAATGGACTGAAAATTATATAACTATCACTTAAAGTCTCTAGAACGTGTCCTAGGGCCATTTAGCATATGCAGGGAACAGCGAGAGTCTGTAGCAACTCCACCAAAACTTGCTCAAGTTACTGGATTGTAATCAAGAGCAGAGCACCTAGGACAGGGTCTCTATAAGACCTGTTGGGGAGGAAGTTGAAGCAGGTCTAAGTTTACCTGACCTGAGCATACCACAGACTCTTACACTTACCCCCTCCCCCAATAAATAAATAAAATCTAAAAAATTTTAAAAAAAGGAAGAAGAGGAAAAAGAGAAGGGGAGGAAGAAGTAGTAACATGTCCACTAGATTGTGCCTCTAAAAGGCATGCCTTTGAGTCTGACGAGATGGCATAGTGAATAAAGGCTGCCACCAAACTGATGGCATGAGTCCAATACCCAAGACCTGAATGGTAGACAGAGATAACCAACTCCTGAAAGTTGTCTTCTGACCCCCACACACACACACACACACACACACCAAACAGAAACTAAATAATTTTTTTAAATGTGAAAGGCATAACTTCTCCTTACCCATTTCTACTGTTTGCAATAACAATGCCCAGAGCAGCCATGTTTGATTACAAGTTGGAAGCAAAAAGTTGGAAGTGACAGAACAGCCTGAGGCAAAGACCCCAGATCCCCACCATCACTGTGCTGCTATTTCAGTCCTGGAATGCTAACTAATCTTCTGCAACAGATAAATATAATTTCAATCTCGTTAGGCCACTGCCTAAGCAGTATTTAATTTGTAACTAATGGTGTTATTGTGTGGCTTGATAAATTGGATGTGAATATTATGGATGTCTAAGTCATTATCAATACTGTCAAAATTTCAAGTGTTGACTTAATTACAAAGTTTTCATGATAGATTATTTATTTATTTATTTAAATTAGTGGGTCACTTTATTTCCAGTCTCCAATCATTAAAAAAAAAATCTATTAAAATTTCTGCTTGACAACTTCATACACATACATATAAAGTGCATTCTGATTACTGTCATGCTCACCCCTATCTCTCTCCCATTCCTATCCTCCCTGCCTGTCCCTTTCCATAATCATTTCATTTAAAAAATTGGCATATAAGGATCTGGAGAAATGGCTCAGCAATTATGAGCACTTGTGCTTGCACAGGACCTGGGTTCAGTTCCCAGCACCCACGTGGCAGTTTACAACTGCCTGTGACTCCAGTTCTAGGAGATCTGATGCCCTCTTATGTCTCTGTGGGCTCCTGCATGCATATGGCACACATAAACTCATACAAGCAAACACACAACATAAATAAAAGAAATAATAAATAAATATTTTTAAAATTAGCATATAAGGTGTTAGATATCATGAAGTTATTAAAAATTTAAGAGTATGATTAAAAAATATAATTCTTCAAAGCATAAAAATTTGCTCCTTAATAATCAGTAGATGTGAAAAACATTATCACTGAAATCTACCTGATGACTTTATATCCATGCTCAGATGCCAAGGAGCTCAGAAAGTAACTGACTGTGACTAGTAATAATCAGATATAGAGAGATTAGAAATGCATGTGCAAACATCTTAATGTCAGTTGCATTAAAAATGAATTTTTCTGTATGAAACAGTGTATTTTAATAATGAAATGGAGATCTCTTTTAAAGTTAAAACCTCATTTAATTTTATGTCTTATAGGGTTTATACTGAATACAATATTGTAAACTGTAATAATTCAACTCTAAACCTAAAAACGTACAGCCAGTTTTGAAAGAGATGCATCTTAGCTCTGGAAATTGTTATTG